TTTTTTGGAAGTCCAAGTCAAGTCACCAGTCAATTTTTGCAAGTATGAGTCAAGTCACAAGTCAAAGCTGGTATTTACAAGTCAAGTCACAAAAATAGGGACTTGAGTCCAAGTCACATGACTTGAGTCAGCAACTCTGCTGAACAGTGAACCTTGTGTGACTGCACTTCAACCAATGACGATAAAGAATGAATAGGGGTTGACAAAGATGGCTGTCTGTTATTGTGCATTGGGATTTCTCAAGTGTGGGTAGCTCTCCACCGTCTTCTGTATAGCCTCCTCCAGGCCTATCAGGGGTGCGTAGTCCATGTCCCTCTTGGCCCTCTCGCAACTGTAGTAATGGAACGTGCCAGCCAGCGCCACTGTCATGGGAGTGAATGTCACCTTGAGGGTGACAAATGGAGACAAGAGCCAGCAGACCAGTTGCAGGAAGAGGGCCAGATAGTAGATGAGGACATAAGGGAGGTGGTACCTTGGGGGCGGGTACTTGAGACCCACGAGGAGGCGGGACATGAAAGACCAGAAGGGGATTGGTTCGTCGTTGGTGATGTGGTAGGGCTGTGGCACAAACCGGGAAAGGAAACAACAGGTTGAAATGATGTTGGTCAATTTAGAACTGTTTTCCCAGCAATGATTTTTAAAATTCTTTTCGTCCTAATTTTCTAATTACAGGATAGTATCAGTGGAGTTTTTGTTGTTTCAGACAGCCATGTTATCCCAAATGCACTTCACATTTTACAGAAAAGAAAGGCTGTGTTCTGTATATTTGATCCATAACTCTTCAATAAGCATATCCATCAGAAGGGCATTTCTGTCACTCCAAACAGCCATGCTTCTTTTGCAGCAACTGCAATTTGTTGACTGTAAAACTCCTGAACAATTCCTTTAGAGATAGGTGACAATGAGTTGTCCTACCTTGCCACAAACTGGAGAGTCTTTACCCAGTTTCTCTGCTGCCAAAATATGACCATGTGCAACATTCTTGACGTAAGTGAAATCAACAAGGTTCTTGCCATTCCTGTCATTGAATGAAGAAATGAGAAACAAATTTCCATTAAAAGCAATGCAAAGATAGCAAAGCAAATCCATTGATTCTAACCTTATAAATGCAAGTTTAGTGAAGATTGGTTTTAATGAAATATGCTAGAACAGAATGGCGATTTTTTGGGCATTTTTGCTCATAATGAGCAAGCCAATATTGGTGTTGTATTAGTCTTTCTTTGACAGGCAGCATGACTAACAGGCTTAAGTCTAATATGTACTGTGATGACAGAAAGTCACTTGGAATTCTTACCCAATCATAAACTTTGTCTTGCCAGCCCTTGCAGTCTCCACTAGAGTGGGAACTAGTTGAGGGTCTCTGGGACCAAAGATGCCATGAGGCCTGATGGCTACAGTGTAGAAATCAGGACTGTTTGCTTCAAGAACAACCTGAGTAAATCAACAGCCAAGAATAATACAAGCAATATAAGACATTCCATGTATATGACAGAAATAGTACAAACAGTGCTGATACATTCAATGTCACAATTTCTGTCCATTTTCCTGGAGCTTTTTAAGAGCACTCAAATATTATTGTTATAATTATGAAACATTTCTGGTGATGAAAGGACGGATTCCTCAAATGCACCCAAGGTGCTGTAGCTCGTAAACCTGAAGAAACTTGTAGAGAGGAGCCAATGAGAAGAAGTCACAGTTTAAGAGGTGGGAGGAAAACCCCAAGAATAATGTTCTGGGTAAGTACCACAAAATCAGGACCTGAAAATCAATCCAAATGTGGACCGAATCGAGAATCAAACCCAGGTGGTAGGGGTGAAAGGCGAGGAAAGAAACACCACACTAACCTGACTTACCAGGCTGGAGCAAGTTCACAAAGCTTACCACCCAAATGGCTACATGATGTATATTCTTCAGACTGATCACCCAGATCTCCCTGTTGTAAGTATACCAGCATAAAACTCAGTCTGCAAAGGTCTTAAATAAATGGGGAAACTGTTACTGGTACTCACCTTCTCTTGTAAAATTTTGGTTTCTGTATAGTAATTGATTGGTTGGCTGGCATAGGGCAGGTCTTCATTGCCATTCTCGATGTCTTTGCCTTCATAGATTACACTGGCAGAACTGGTTAAAACTAGTTTCTGTTGAAAGCAAAACCACAAAATGTATCACTTTGAATAAGCTGTGATATTGAAAGGTCATTAATTCAGTTTAGTTCTGAATACAACATATCAAGATTTTAATTAAAAAAAATAATCTATTACCTTCACACCAGCTTCTTTGCATGTGTCTATGATGTTTTTTGTGCCATCAAAGTTTACTTTGTAAAACATTTCTCTAGGATAAAAGATGAGAGGAAAAGTATTTGCATGAGCCAGAAATGTTTAGGTCAAAAAAATTATAATGTCATATACACTGATTAATGGTAAAACAAGATGTATTTCTTCATGGCTAAAAGCTATTTTTTTTCAAATCTGCAATAAGTAACTGGAATAAGTTACAAAGTTGTTCAGGATTTTTTCACCATGCCATGATTTTATCTGAAATCCATACATCTTGTTACTCATGTTTAGTAAAAATATACACATCATGCACTTCACCTCTGCTCAAACAACAGACTGGTATCTGTAATTTACTCACTTATTATTACTGGATGGCGGTGGAGAGGCACAGTTGAAGACGACCTCTGACCCTTGAAGAGCTGGCAACAACTCCTATTAGGGAAAAAGCACCAAAAATGTTTGTTTAAAAATACAGCAAAATTGGAAGACTGTAAGAGAAGTACAGGCACATAAGACAACCAAAATTTATTTCACTTATGGTTAAAACTACATAAAGTTTAAATTATTAGCTTAGTTGAACAATGAATTACAGAGAATTTTAAATAAAGTGCAACATTTTTCTTACCATAACTATATCCCTATAACTATTGGACAGTGTCTTTGACTGAGGATGCACTCACCTCCTTAGAGCAAAGATCTCCCACAAAGAAGTTAACTCGCTTATCCTCAAAGGTACTCTTGATGTCAAACACATTGACGGAGTAACCCCGTTCTTGCAAACTCTCCACAAGATGGTGGCCAAGGAAACCGCACCCACCAATTACAGTGCACTGCTTCCCCTATTGATAGAGAGACAAGGAGAAGGATCTTGTTCTTTCGGACTGTGGTTTAACCAGAGACAATTTTGATGGAAAGTTTTAAGAAACATTTTCGATTCAATTTATGGGCCATTTTTTTTCTCAAATATTAAAAAAACATAAACTCAATGAGAAATTTGTGCCGTGTTTTGGGTTAGCAATAAAATGAATCAAACTGTACAGTATAATCATTCAAGAGGCTTTTTAGCCAAAGGAATAAAGGCATCACCATATTGGCTGCGTTTCTGTGTAGGAATGAAGCTGTAGTGGAGAGCAGTGGATTTCAAAATGCAAATATAACCATCCTTGTCTATAATCTAACTAAAAGTAGGTTCCCCAAAAGTCACAGAAACTTCCTACCAGCAATTTAATGCAGTGAACCAGTGACTGTTTTAGCTTTGTGTTGACACATACCACTTGCATACCAGCATTTATATCTAGTGCTGAGTGCATGCAAGTGCAAAGTCTAAAATCTGTTTCATAATTAATTATTCATAAGGTAATATTAAGGCCAAGGAAGAAAAGAGTGTTTGCATTTTAGCTATTTCGGGGCATGGATGTCTATATTAAGGTAATGCTTCATTTGCTTGTATTAGCCTTCCTGATCTTTGGAATCTAAAGTCAACATCAGTTTAAAGTGGGTCATTTTGGATGTGCTTCATGATGTTGGGAATAAAAGCTAAGCATGCTCCTAATATCACCCTGAATGTGTATAATCCATTTTTGTTCATATTCAGTTGCAGAAGTTAAAAACAAGTAGGTGTTTAAATAAGCCAATTTCCCGTTCCATTGCCATGTTGACTTTAGTGCCCCCATGTGATTAAGTGAAGCTAGAGGGGATCAAATTGTCTACAACAATAACAATCGTGAGCATCCATTCGCCAAACGGTACTGAAACGTTGTCATGAATTTGTTCCCCTCTGTCAAGTTTACTGAGTTTGCGCACATGAATCATGAAAAAGGCTTCTTGTTCCCAGGCGAACTTGATGCAAGAGACAAGTCCTACAACTTCACAAACAATAAAGTGAAATTTGCCTGGTTTCCTTTTCTCAGCCTGCACATGTTATCATGATCATCCTGATATCTATTTCAAATTCAATGTAGACACCGCTTATTCTGAGCTTACAACCCTAGTACAGCTACAAAGCTATGTGCTTGTTGGGCATGACTTGACTAGAGAGTCAAACTGTACACGTGTGTGTCAGTGTACATGTATGTGTTACGCCCCAACAATAGCATCAGTCCCAACTATAGTTGGGCCCGTCCCAACTAGAGTGCTACAGTAGGGCCGGCCCAACTACAGCAGAGAGGTTCTGTGTGCATGATGTGCCCAGCATCAAAGTCATATTGTTTACAAATGTCATGTCATTGGTCATAGGGCTAAGTGCCACATTTTTGATGAATTGTGTCAAGTGTGAGACACATTGACTTGGATAATGTTGAGACATTTCCCACAGACAGTGGTAAACAATAGTTGGGCAAGCCCAACTGCAGCACTACAGTTGGGACTGTCCCAACTATAGTTGGGACTTATGCTATAGTTGGGGCGTAACATATGTCTGTCCAAGCCAAGTGAAGACCGCTGAGGCCGTTCACCAGCAACATGGGCAAGATTAGATGAGAGTCTAGACTATGCACATTAGCCCCACACGTAGGGTTGTAGTGGCTCACTTTTACAATCTGTCTCCTTTCTGTCGCCATCACAGACAAAAAAGAGACAGATTGTAAAAGAGAGCCACTACAGCCCTATTTATTTGTGGGGCTTTGTAGGCCTAAGTATATTGCACATAATAATACGACCTGCAGATTGTCCACCATCGAGGCCATGACTAAAAAAGTTTTCTTGACCACAACAGCAAACTTGTAATGTTCTTAACCACTCACCATTGTAGTATTTACTGTTGGATGGTCCAACTTCGTTTGTTTGTTTTTTTAACAAATATCGCGATCGGCACGGCCAGCCGGCACAACACGAAGCAGTCGACAAAGGACTAACTCAGTCTGGTCTCTTTTACTTGTATACATGTTTACCGTCTAAATTGACAGAAAACTAGACTCCTATACGTAGACATGATGGGCGAGTTCGGGCGGCCGGTTCTCGAATAGCTTAAGTCGATAATCGTGGCCCGGGGTCGGCCGCTCGAACGCCGGGAACATACAACTAGATTTTGCTGGTGGTTAGTGGCAAGTGACATGCAAACGGCGGCGTCCATGAACATGAACGTTATTCGAGAGTTAATGTTTGGATAATTGGGTTGAATTCTTTTCTATTTAAATGGGACCATTAATTTCTGTGTTATAAAAAGTGATTAATGTTAACTTTACAAAACTTCCCATTGTCTCTGGCTTTGTAAACCATCTCTCTACTTTTTGAAGCCGTTCAAAAATCAAAATCTCACGAGTTTTCCGTGTTTTCGTGTAAAATTTGACGAGGAGGTGGTGTGTGATCCTGTTCCGAGAACAAAGTTCTTGAGTAGTGTTCCCGCCGTTCGAGCGCAAGAACTGTGTCAAGAACGACGCCCGAACTCGACTGTAAAGCCTATGGGAAGTAAGGGAGAGGGGGCGGGCTTTTCCTTTAGTGGTTCATCCGAGGTCTTTGTTATAATGAGCTAGATTGTGCTCATCGATGTGAACGCAGAAGCCTGGAAGCAGTATTTCATCCATACGCTTGTCCAACTTGCTCGTGCGAAATTTACAGCCCCTGCAGATGTTTGCTGAAATTTTCAATGTTGTTGAATAAATATTCATACCGAGATTTTTCTTCCAAAGTATTGTTACAAAGATTACATTAATGTCCCTTTTCATTTCAGGATAGGTTAAATTGAGTCTTAACTTCACTTCTTTAATTGCACGTTCACAATTTTTGAGTTACGGGGGCAAAAATTATCAAAGTACATGTGTAGTACATGTAGTTCAACCATGGCGCTATTAAGGTTACACCAAATACGCGCCCATAGAAAATAGTCCAAAATCGGACCAAAATTGCGCTGCCTGTTGACTCTCGTCAAGAGGTTTGGCCTCCGTTTTTTCACTGCAAATTCAAGATTATGGCCAGAAGATTACTTTTCGTTTCAATTTCATGGGGGTTAGCCACGAAAACCTGTTTTTTATTCGTCTTTGAACGAAGATACCCCCAAATAGCAATAAAACCAAGCGCTCATTTCTGAATGTAACCGCCTGCCTCTATCCAAAATAGGTCTGCAATTTTGGGCTTTTTGTGAAAGAAATAAACTGAACTGGAGACTATCAGTCCTAAATTCGAGATTTATAGAAATATTTCTATGATGCCTCCTGATTATTGTCTATCTTATTGTAAAAAAAACCATGGGATCACAAAATATTAATGAGCTCGCACACAGAAATACAACCATTTAGATAAACTAAATAGAAAAACCAATTCCAAAAACTGAATACGCTTTCTTGCTTTTTTCTGGAGAAGGGTAATACAGTTTTTTCGTTGCCATTGAATGCGGCAGAATTTTGTACGCAGTAACATTCTCATTAAGTAAACCAACGGGGAAATTAAACATCTTCTGCAAAACTGCAGGACATAGAGAAGAAAAACTAAAAGAAAGAGGACGAGCAAACAGAATTGTTGATTGGATCTTTCTAATCTCTTTTTCCCCGGCCTCCGGGTGAGCTTTTATTGGAAGAAAAAATGGAGGGAATTTCAGGCCCTTTTCCAGTTATTATAGGACAGAATAGTCGATAAGCCAATCCAAAGAGACACAGTGTACATTCCTCTGATCTTTGGTTATAATCGTTACTGTTTCGCCAACTTCGAAAGACAAAACTGCTCATTTTTTCCTCCCGTAAATAAAAAAAAATCTAAAAAGAGAACAGGGCGCCCCCTTTCGGTTTGTCGCCACGGGCGCCGCCATCTTGTCTGTACAGGTTGCACTACACCAAGTACGCGCCCATAGAAAACAGTGCATAATCGGACCGAAATAGCACCGCCTGTTGACTCTCGTCAAGAGGTTGGCCTCCGTTTTTTTCCACTGGAAATTCACGATTATGGCCAGAGGATCACTTTTCGTTTCAATTTCATTGGGGTTAGCCGCGAATTCGTTTCTTTCGCCTTTGAACGAAGATACCACCCAAATAGTGATAAAACTAAGCGCTCATTTCTGAATGTAACCGCCCGCCTCTATCTAAAATAGGTCTGCAATTTCGCGATTTTTGTGAAAGAACTACCCTGAACTTGAGACTATCATTCCTAAATTCGAGATTTATAGAAATATTTCTATGATGCCTCCTGATTATGGCCTGTCTTATTGTAATTACCCCATGGGATCACAAAAATATTAATGAGCTCGCACGCAGAAATACAACCATTTGGTGGAATGCACCCCTTAAACACATGGGCCGTTTTCCAATACTCAACTTCCTCTCCGTCGGAGGCTTTGTTCCCAAAACCTATCCCCAATTGTGGGCCTGAAACGTTTAAATTACAGTAGATAACTGTATTTGTTTGCTTTCTTGCATCTTATTTGATGTTCTGTGGCACTATTAGACTGATTACTGCGCTTATAGCTTCAAAGTCAGCAAGTAAAAAAAACAGGTTGAAGCCTCAGACGGAGCCGAAGTTCAGTATTGGAAAACGGCCATGGTTCCACCTGCTGCACATAATGCGCATATCCATCTTCATCTTTCCATCCTCTATGCGTTTCTATGCGCTTATACTTTTATTAGTGAATTAAACAAAGTAAAATAAGGAAAAAGTTCTCTAATTGAAATTTGAACTGCTATAAGCAAATTCATATTATTTAAATATGTTTTTCTATAAAATTATTTTGCCTTTTACTAATGACTGCAACAAAGAAAATATAACTGGGTACGATACATATTGATGTGCGAACGAGGTGCCTTGATAGTCTGATGAAAAATGCTGTTTTACTGGTTAACAGTGGCACTGTGTGTCAGAGCCGTCTTAAATTTTAAACCAATCAGCATGATGCTTACAAAGCATTTGGACTAGTTGTACCGCCGTTTCGAAGCAAAACAGATCTTGAGGAGCAACGATATCTGCTTTCCACCATGGTAATGTAGTACAAATTCTTCATTTCATTCCCCTCCAAAAATTGAAGTAACTGACAAGTTAGCATATAACTCTCAATTCCTGACAATTTTTTTCATCGCCTGTAGTGTCGATTAATAGTTGCATTCGTCGGGAATGAGCACACCGGGTGCCCCTTCTTTCTTGCCAATCTTGGCGGCGCCGCGGCGGCGCTGCGGCGGCGCAGCGCCAACATGCATGACAATAAAGACAAGAATATAAGATTAAATCTGTGCTCTGAAATATATGATTGCCGAGCTTTTGGTAACTGAATGCTTTCTTCAGGGCAGTCTCTGCTTGCCCTGAAGAAGGTACTCAGTTACCAAAAGCTCGGCAATCATATATCTCAGAGCACTGATTTAGTCTTATATTCCTGTCGATATTCTGATCACGGTGCTACGCAGCCTTCCTTATATCCATGCATGACAATAAACCTTTTCGACGTTCGCAATGCATTATGGATATGGATGACAAACAAGCAATGCATTTTATGGACAACCCTATGGGGGAAGTGAACCAGTCAAAAATCAATTTACAGTTTTCTACTAAATATTTTTTATGTAGGCCTATCTACTCATCAACTCACAGATGCATACATATTGATCAGATTAGGCCTATACAAGAAACATTTTCAAATACGTTTCCAAATGTTTGTAAGAACAAATCAACCTTAATTGCCCTTTTAAAGGGCACCAGTCACGCTACAGGCTGAAAATGACCGTGACTGGTCAAAGCGGGATGAATGAGCTGCAAGTCCTAATTTTGATTGGACAATACTAGAACATTAATATTCACGAAGTAGTCAAAGCACGGTCCGTGACAAAAAGTGGTGTTGTTGGAAGGGATTCTCCAAATTTTCCTTCTCTGCCAAGCTTTAAACTTTGAAGATTGTGAATATCTTTGTCCCAAATCAATAATCCAACTTTGTCAGAAGGGGGTGGCTTGAATTGGAGTATGACATTAAATGGAAACAGATTAACATTTTCAGGTACACTTCTTTCTTAGAGTTGTGCATAAAATGCATTGCATGTTTGTCATCCAAACCCACAATGCATTGCAAACGTTGAAAAGGTTTATTGACCTAGGCCTACATCACTTCCAGTGCAGTGCAAAATGTCTGCCCTGCCTTATTTCATGAAGGCCTATTTACGATTCACAAAACTGGATAACTGGATAACGACCGTAGACATGATAGGCCTATAGATAATAGTAAAGCAAGAAGTGACAGGCCTATTCTTTTTACTACGTTCAAAACAGAATTTTGGCCCTAGAACAGTTACAGGGAGACATTTTGTTTGATTATGCTAGGCCTACCATAATGTTAACGTACATGCGCTTACGCGCTCATGTGGTCCGGTACAATTGATCTCCATTTTTGATCTCCATTGTACATAGACTGTTCAACATTCATGAAGCTGTTTTTTAATTTTATCGACGTCATCTATAAACCTTTTGACTTTCGAAATGCATTATTGGTTTGGGTGATGGTGACAAACAAGCAATACATTTTATGCACAACCCTATGGGTTCACTCCAGTTCAAGCCATCCTCTTCTCAGAGTGTTGCATTATAGATTTGGGATGAAGATATTCACAAATTCTGAAGATTAACCCTAACAGTCCCAAATCCCCCAATTTCAATACGATTTTACATACACCCTAGGGGGTTGTCAAAGTCTGGCAGAAAAGAAAAATGGTCTTGCCAAACCCAGAGCTCGGAAAAACTCTTATTTTTAAAATGTATTTAATTGGTTGAAATAGGCATGATAAATGCGAGTGGTGTTAACGCATCTCATCATTCAGGTGAGAAATTGTGTTCATTCACTCGCATTTTCACCTGCTGCTACATCTTACAATTAGCCTCGCAGACTTCAGAACCATTTACTTTGCTGAGATTGATATCTAAATAATAGGAACCCGTGCCTTTCTGTGTCTATGTACATGTACCATATAATGCTAAAATTTAATTTTTTGAGTGTTTTATGTGAACATGAGATTTGGAAGCAAGCTTTGATAGGCTTGATAGAATTCCACTTTCTCAAACAAAATTACCCAAATTATCTGCAAAAAGCAGTTCAGGCTAATCCATGTCTCTTCAAAATTTTGGAACAGTGGTTATTGGATCATCAAACTAACAGTTCTGTGACAGTCTGGGTATTTACTCACCAGCTTTGCATTTTTGATATGGCAATTGCAGACTGCCTACCCCTGAAACTTGTGGGTTTGTCATCTGCTTTGCTCGTCCACTACATTCTCACAGCAAGGCGGATGATGACCTACAGAGTTCTAGGGATACAGACTGCCCATAGGGGTACTGTGGTGAGGTCACTTCCACATTGGTTGGACGTTTCTCAGTAGGAGAGAATCTTCCTCATTATGCAACCATATGGTGATATGAGGCAGGATGCTGTCTAAATGGATGAACAGTTGTGATCATTGGTTCACTGTTTTCTCTTGAAAAGGACTTTCCCATTGTACTTCAAGTAAATTTCAGTTAGGTGGAGGTGACAATCAGGCACAACGTGGTCACATGAACTGTGATAGTTCTGAAACTTCCTTTATTACAGACTTCAAGATACACCAAGACATCTATGGGTGGGGGCCAGAGGAAGAAGACAGGGCCCAAGCCAGAGCTGACTGAAGAACAGAAGCAAGAGATACGAGAGGCCTTTGATCTCTTTGACACTGAGGGAACTGGGACGATAGATGCCAAAGAACTCAAGGTGAGCAACTGAGGATGACTTGAACAACTTTGTAGCAGGTTTCATGTCACATTCATGGGAATTAACCTGTGAATTCACTCAAAAATTCTTTGTCCTCATTAATGGATATTTATTGAGTTGGAACCTGGAAAGCCAGTTGAACAAAAACATTGTAGATTTCTGGAAATTTTGAGAAGCCTGTTTTATCATGTCAGTTCTGCCTAATGAAGTGCTTGAATTCGGCTTAAAGTTTGCTTGATTCTTCACTTTTGGAAATTAGAATTTTAGCATAGTACACTGTTGACATCAAATTGGGACATGAAAATCAGCATTGGTTTACACCGAGAATGGCTATTTACTTGCTCTTCCCTTTCTTCCAATTCTAGGTGGCCATGAGGGCATTGGGTTTTGAACCTAAGAAAGAGGAGATTAAGAAGATGATTCAAGACATCGACAAAGAGAACACTGGTACCATTGACTTCAATGAGTTCCTGACAATGATGACAGCGAAGATGGTACGAAAAAAGTTAGCCTTTTAGAACATGCTTCATGAATGGTACATTAATGGCTGACTGTAGGTTTGAGGAAGGCGTATGAGTTATGTGGCATAATATGTTCGGCTTTTCTTTTCAAATTATTCTTTGACGTTTGCTGAGATCTCTCTTAGTTTTTAATATTTCTTTTCTTGCAGAGTGAAAAAGACTCAAGGGAAGAGATCCTGAAGGCCTTCAAGTTATTTGATGACGACAATACAGGCAAGATCTCTTTCAAGAACCTGAAAAGAGTAGCCAAGGAATTGGGAGAAAATTTGACAGACGAAGAGCTGCAGGTAAGGATCAGGGACCCTCTGTGTTTGTATCGGAGCTTATAATACTGGCTGCATTAATTCTTCTGATGGGAGGATTTCACTCTTAAAATTCTGCCTGTGATCAATCACAGGCACTGCCTGTTCAAAATAGCATAGACCACACATGTCTTTATTAAATGAATCATTATGCTGTGAATTGGGCTTGGTTTTCTTGCCTGTCATCATCTGAATTGAACAGTAGAGGGTGCTGTACAAATATTGCACATCTTAAAGTCCTTTTTTTGCCGTTCTGTTGAAGGAAATGATTGATGAAGCTGACAGGGATGGTGACGGTGAAATCAATGAGCAGGAATTCCTACGGATAATGAAGAAGACGAGTCTCTACTGAACAAACCACCTGAAATCCTGTCCAGCTGAAGTCTGTAAATGCCGTGGAGCATGCCAGTTTATTCACTCCTGGTTATTGGTTTCAGACTAGTGCATTCTGGCCATCCAGGATATGATTGTAAATAGAAGCAGTACATGGTTGGACTGCCGCTTGGTGCAGTATTAAGGAAGTGTGGAGGTGTATTCTCAAGACATTCTCCCTGTTATTGTGCAGATCGAATTCTCCACTATAGCACAGAGAATAGTAGAGATAAGAATTCACTGTTCTGTTGTGTGTACACCGTCCCGGTAGGCTGGCTGACTCTGGGAGTGTATACGTTTCGGATTCCATTGTATTCTTAAATGATGTGTGGTATGTAGACTTGAATTTCTCATAGCTTGATCATGAAATGGTTTTTAAATGTGTACCCATGTGCTTTCCCAATGTTTGTGGGTATACGATAGGTCCAACACATGGACCAACTCTCTTCAGAAGAAAGGTTCTTAATTTCTAAAAGTCCTTTCATCAATTCTCAACTATTGCTAAGATGCACAATTGACTTTTACATTGTCTTTGTGTCACTGGTTATTGTGAAAGCAGGCTTTTAATGTTTTGTTGAATTCTTTGATTGCAGAAACTTACCTAAAACCTGTCTTTGCAAAGGTGACACAAGTAGATACCAGAAAGTACTATAGATTTTAGCAACCTAATCACTTTGATTTTAGGGTAAATGTTGCTTCAGGGCTTACATTGATGCAAGTTGAATGAAGTTAAAAGTAAGAAGTTTTACGTTAATGACCCAACAGATACCCAAAGATTTGAGTGAATGATAAATTGTTGGTGGCTTTGCAAAATGTAGCCCCAAGTTAGACTTTGCCGTGAAACAATTCATCCGTTGGAGTTACATGGTCTCAGAGATACATTTTTTTTCTGTTTCATGTACATAAAATGTATCAACCACTGTATATAGGTCCGTTAGTCTGCATTGTACATGTACAGAGGAATCCCTTTGTTAATTTATACTTGTTCTGAATACAACCACATTTTCAGATAGAGAATTGAGTCAGTGCTGGAAGGTTGATTTGTAGCTCACAGTAATTGCATTACCCAAATGTTTTGCAGCTGTTTCCACTTCCAGAGTTTCCATGGTAACAGGCAATGATTACTCGAGCATTAGACACTGAGTCATCAGTTGAAAAGCCATTGAACTTGATAAACATTTTCATATTTTTTTATTTCTTATCAACTCATGGTTTAAAGCTTCCAAAAATGTCCTCACTGACCTCAACTGCAGTGAGTATTCATTGTGGATTTTATGTGCACGTACTGCAAAAAGAATTCAAAAGTGACTGCAGAAGTAAATTGTAATATGGGAGATGTGGAGTTTGTGTAAAGAAAGTTCAAAACTTATCGGTTCCAGCCACATTCATTCCAAACAGTTTGGCATTTTAAACAGTTTACAAGCAGTAGAAAGTCTGTAACCATTTAAATTGGCTGTAATTCAGCACTCTGTTGTGTCAAAATGGGTAAAACGTTAGTAAAACAATGAGAAGTGAAAAGAAATATAACCCATATTTGATTTGAACTTGTGGTGTTTATGTTTCATATAAAGTTATAGAATGCCAACGAAAAAAGGTTGTTCATTACAGTACTTACTAGTTGTAATTATGATTAGCCTTATAGTTGTTTATAATGCACTTGGCTTCTTATTTACAAACACGTGTGTTGGCATCATTTACATGCACGTCGTGCACATTGTAAACTGGGGGTGCGACTGACAATATTATTTTCGATTGCCCTTTTCTGTTTGTCGGAACAATTAAAAATAACGCATTCCTGTCACATATAATTTAATTATTCGATTATTCTTTGTGAGTTGAAATAGGGAAAGATATTTTTAGGCGCTCCGGGGTATTTGCAGGAATTTTGCCCCGCCCCCGTCTCGTGTGAAACGCTAAATGTGAGCAACGCCACCTCGTGACGTGATACCATCTACAAGTTGGAAAAATTTGACTCTAGCAGCATGATGTTGCTGGTACTCGTTTGTTTTATGAATTGTACTGGTGCGAACCAGCGTAGACCGGAAGGAACAATTGAGATACGCTACGTACAGATGGTGTAATTTATCCTGAACACGGACAACAGCGGAGGGCTAGGGGAAGACATACAATTTCAGAAATCATAGGAAGGCTTTAGAAGCGGTGAGTGTGTTAATTTGAGTTGTTAACTTTTCTTGATATTGTAACTCTTGCAAGATGTTGAAGAACGAAGTTCTCTTGAAAACAGAACATGAAAAGCGCGGGTAATGAATCGACGTACAGTGCGTGAAATGACATGCACATGGACTGTCACGTACCATATCGTGGGCCATTCATTTTGTGCAGTGTAGCGTGGACTGCTGTGAGTGAAGTTAATGAAGTTTTGTTTCAGTTTGCATGTACAAAACAATGTACACCTGGGCTGACTTGTAACTGTGACGAGACCATGAAAACGTTTGTTATTATGATGTAAAAGCAACCCTGCTCTTGTCTTACTCAGTTTTGAAGGAGTTTTGTGTTTTGTTAATTTTGTTAAACCTCCATACAGCAGTATTCTGTTGTCAGAAAAAGATGACTTGTAATACAGAGGTAAATTAATTTTCGAAATTTCACTTTTTAAAAAATTTATGTAAGAAAATCAACAAATTAAGACAACTCCAAGTCAATGCCTGTTATAACTGTATGCATTTGGGTGTACGTGTAGCTGGACAAGCAGTTAAATAAAGTACATACGGTTTTGATTAATTTCTAATACATTATTCTGGATTTAAATTTTTCCCTTATTTACATGATAACCTATTCCCCCCCCAAGAAATAATCAAAAAATTGACTAATATGATTAACCTCAAGTACAGCAACAGGAAACGTTGAGACCCTTTCAAAGTACGTGTACGTGTACATGAACATGTATGCATTTTGAACATCACATCTTATTAAATAGTGCCCCTGATAAAATAAATCATTAACAATTTATTTGTTGACAAGTTACTGTTGGCAGGTCACATTTTCAGTCCCATATTTCAGAACTGAAATACATTACACATAAAAATGAAACTAAAACAAAATGCATGACTCAAGTGTTTTATGTGTCTTAAATTACTTCTTGAATTATAACAGCATATGATAAATTGTGCACCATAGTGCACCTGCCATCAAACATACCTTTCAAATGGCCTGATTCCTTTTAAAGCACAAATCCACTTATTTCAGGTAAGTGTGGTTCTAGTGCCACAGACGTACAATTTTGAAAATTGTAACCCATTTATCAAAGCGATGGCAGTGTTGATAGTCCTGTTGATTATTCTCCCTTTGCCAAAAAAAATGTCAAATTCTGATTGATTCGGTTTACCACTCCTTATCACGCACTGGCCATTAATCAGACTAACATGCTGTTGACAATTGCCTTTTGGTTTCTGAACAATTGGTTTAAAAGACATCAATTTAACGAAGAGGTGTTTAAATTTAGGAGTATCGTGACGTATGATGGTATGCAATGATACATGTAGTAGTACTTGTACTTTGTGTGAAGTCACACCATCAAAGCTCATGTATGTAATTCTTACGACATTTGATCGTTACACATGATTAATGTGGGACAGGTATTGTATTTATAGGTATGCTTATGACGTTATTGTTGCAAAGTGCTGTGCAGTTGTTTTCACTTAAGTGACGGTGGAAGTGCATGTTACTGAGCAGATTGTAATGTCGCATGATTGATAATACATGTACATGTACATGTAAATGGATGGTTTCAATTGGTTAATAGTATATGTGTGTCGGTTCATGTACAGTACTTTACCTATTGGTACAATATCGCATTGCTTGTTTAGCTCTACTGTTTAGAATTCTGCTTTAGTTCCGTATGTCATGTCTTTAGTAACTTGTAACGCAAGTGCAAATGAGTTGACAAACTTTAATATATGAACAGAGGTCTGGTCCTCATAGGGAAAATGTTTGATAGGGGAGGAGTAGGACCAAATGTTCCCCTGCCCACAACAAAAACAAAAAGTAATATGCATGCATACAAGAACGCATGTATGATTACAAGTATGTGCATAGTTTTAATGGAATACATACTGGTAAAAGTACACATAAAATGATGTACATTCAGTAACATGGAGGCTGTTGAATCGTTATTTGATAATTTATATATATTTACGCATTAAGATAGAGGAACTGGCAATTTTTTTCAATGAATTATCAATTGAGCTCCACAACGTAATTAGGCCTGTCATATTTCACAGTAGTATAGAGAATGTATTGCATAAAGTTTTGTCAGAGGGTTATTGATCAAAATGGAATGTCTTCCTCTCCAAACAGGGCAAATTAAAATCAAATTACGCATGAAACAAATATTTGATGTGATTTAGTGAAACTGTGACAAAAGTCTCAAAACAAACAATGTCCATTTTCAGATTGTCTGAATATAACAAGGAGGTGTTCATTTCAGTAATTCCTCCCCTCCCCTTCAGGTTAAGATGTGGAACTGTGCTTTACACCTGTACACTGCACATTTGCCTTCTTAACACAAATAAGAACATATATGCCTCCCTTTAAACTTGGGCTTTTCACACCTCTGTCATTTCATCATTTCTTGCAACTCTCTGTGAATGGATTCCCGCCCGATGAGCTCGTCACCTCAGCTCACATTTCACTGTCAAGAAAAAAAAAACCTCACAAAGGCTAAAGGGAGGATGACAGATGATGAATGGATTTGTGTCATTATTCATAAACCCTTACATAAAAAAGTGGGTTGATTTATGCAAGTTCTGGGCAGACAAGGTGGCAGTTTTGGTTTGTTTGCCCTTCTAAATAATAGAATACCGATTGTCTTTTCCAGAGCTGGTGCTATAAAATGACTTAGATGGATTTTTGCAGGAACCAGCTTTTGGGATGATATATATATTTTGATCATCAATGAATGAATGTCTTTGAAGAAATTACGTGATGGCAAATTGGTGGCAGTCAAACTTGTCATTTGGTTTGTGTTGTTGGTAAGCTGTCAACAAGAAAGTCAAAGGTTTTCCCTTATTGTGTGGTTCAGGGTGCACTGAGGTGACAATGCAGAAACAGATGTGAAAAAAAGAAAGCTATTTCCATTTCTTGCACTCTGCATGAATGTTGAATTTGTTATTCATGACACCATATGTTATTCACGGCAACATAATATAATGCCCAGTAATGCATTCAGTACATAGTGTACAGGATTAGTCATTGTTACTGCATTTACCAGTAAAGAATTACATTTAAGTGAACACATTATTTTTTTTCACTTTTGGCTCTACATGCACAGGTACCAAAAAGACATGTGCATCAACATTTTTCATGAATAGAAATGGGCTTTGATTTACATGCTTAGGACAAAATTGAAAAGATGATTTTTTTCCCAAAAGACTAAACAGAAACCATCTCTTGTTTGTTTTTCCTGGGATTGTACTTACATGTACATGCGGAGACATGCACACAGGTATCCATGATTGCATATTGATTTTGTACTGAAACATGATGCGCAGTGCTCAGTGATTCATACAGCTATTGGCCAAGAAATTCTGGGTTCAATATCTTGCATTGCAGTGACAACTTACAATGTACAGTGTATGTCATGGTGGCCTTATTACTCAAACAGCTAAACATGTCTGACCATGGACTCCTCTGTTTACACGGCCCATAATTTACATAATTTTATATGAAATAAAATGACAACAACAAGATTATTATGTATCTCCACTGTCAGCACTCTGATAAAAGCAGGCATGGCCATATCAATTTAAATATTAATGTATGTAATGTCTGGCCTTTTGAGACTTTCTTTGAACGTGCATGTAAATTATATAATATCTTTACACTGTTTCCCCTATTGTCATTCATGGAATAGAGGATTCATAATTCTTAACTTGTACTACATGGGAGATAATTTTCCATTTGTTATTCTCCTATGTTTATCAATTACCTTTTAGACAAAAATAGTTGCCCTTCTCATTTTATTAACTTAATGTGGATTATTCCCTTTTTTGACCATGGATTGGTTGTCCCAGTTAATGTACTCTGCTGCTTTATTTTTGTTGAGAATATATACATACCCGTAGTCTTTTTCTCTTGGTCAAAAAGTGTGTGGAATGTGCATAGAAAGTACAATTTGCAACATCGATTAGGCTTCAAAACTTGTCAAATCTGGCTCAGTAAAATGTCAGCCACTGCATCGTTGGACCATATTCCTGAGTCAGGGTTCTCATGGCCTGGAAAAGTCATGAAACATTATTGTTCTTTAGGTGCAGGAACCCTGCTGAGTAAGCCATTTTTAATCTTGTTTCTTGTATCTGTGCTCTAAATTGTTAACTGTTGAATGGGAAAGTATCAGACTATTTTAGAATTTGTGTGGATTCCAAGCCTCCCTTTCTTTTTTACAATCTTGCATATACCCTGAGGTACATGTATGTTCTATCACAAATTTCAATTTATTTTCAGAGCAGACAGGTCATCATTTGTCTGGAATTTTGATTTTAGTCCTTCACTGATGCCCTCAAGTTCAAAAATGAAAGGTTACACTTCGCTTTCAGTTTCAATGTGGCCAACTCAGGAATAAATTTCATGCAATGACATTTGAGCTGTTCATTGTTTCCTGTCTCCATGATGTTACATGTACCAGGTTATTGAATACCAGCACACATGTACTAGTGCCAGTGTACAGGATTCACACCCCCTTTTTTTTACCCACCTCAAGCTCTGCTGTAATCAACATACCAACAGCCAGATTGAGATGGCCTCTTGAAATTCAGCTTGACTACAAGAGTGCAGATAGACCCATGTGTGAATAGCAACCCAAATCAATGTGCCTGTAATTGTCAAAGTAATTAAACCATCCTGATGAGATAACGGGACCTTTTGTTGATGAGGCAGACAGCACTTAACAGCATATTGATAAAGTCTGTGATGGGTTTCAGGCACTATCCATGCTGTTCTCATTATCCTCCATGCCCTATGCAAATGTACATGTAGTAGATGATTCACAAATGTAAGCAAGGGGCAAGTTTAGCAAGGTGACGGTATAGATTTGTGAGAGCCATAATCGTCTTGGATGAAAGCTGCATAAATGGGATTAAAACCTCTGCTAAAAACAGTATTGACAGAATAAGTGTGTACGCCTTCTTTTGTTTTGCTCTTAAATTTACTATGGCATATGGAGAAATGATTGAATATCACATGTGTACTTTGGCTAATGTGCGGTGTACATTGTACACATAAATTTATATGTTTGTGGTCATCCATTCATACGGTACTTTGTGTGATTTGGTAAATATCTCTTGCATAGTGCTTATCTTTGATGAAAAAGTATTACCGTGTTAGGAAAATTATACCTTGGAGAGATTTCGAATGAATTACATGTAAACTCTTTTCAGAGAAAAATTGTAATCGGAGAGAAAATGACTAAGATGGTTATGGCACACTGTACATGTACATGTATGCACATATTGTAAATATTTCATTTGAACATATGTGCACATTCTAAGTGCATGGAATAAAATAATGTTGGGGCCAATTCAAATGCATTAATGACCTCATGGATGCTGAGAGAATGACCAAAATTATAAGGAAATTCTAAAGATTCTTTATAAGCTGGGGAAGGGAACGAGTTTGCCCCGAGGCTGTTGTACACTTTCATTAATATTTCACTTACTTGAAGTCTTGGTTGCATGTGTGAACATGTCAAGTGGAAAGTATTGCCTTCATAAGTGACAAATTTGCAACTGGGTGTTTTATCCAGTTGCTATTTTGTGCAATGGACCATGTACATGTATGGAGACCTACATGTATCAAAGCCACATTAGTGGACCGTGATGAATTTGATCAGAAGGGAGGGAAAACTAGGGAATGTAGAAAAAAATTTGAAGTCTTTGTTGGTCTGAGTACATATGTATGTCACTCATTCATGAACCATGTAGATGTATATTTCTGCATACATGTGCACTTTAATTGCAGAGTGAGATCGTCAGTTCCCCTCAACAACACACGCACGCCTGTCTACCAAATGGACTGTCCCACTTATATTGAAATTATTCACGATCTTCCAAGAAGCTGTTTGAAGCATGAGAAGTAACAAATTGTTTATTTTTATGAGGTGGTCCTTTATTTGTACACATTCTTTAAAATCAAAATGGAATGTGAATAAACCAACACTTAGACAACAGATTTGCTCGCGGAAAGAGTAGAAATAATCAGGTAGTGTTTATAAATTTGTCATAATTTTTGTGGAACACCAGTTGAGCAAATCTTGACGCTGTTATGAAGAAAGTTATATTCCTCAGAAATCAGAATCAAAACACATGATAAGAAGACACAGACTTGTACATGTACATATATGTAGTACTGGTATGTAGTCAAGATTATTATCATAGATTGCTAGTTGATTATTTGTTTCCAGTTCCTTATGCATCGAGTGACCTTTTCTACTGAACGGCTGATCCATTTGGTCAAAATTCATATGGCTTAGTCATTTCATGATCAGAGAAATTTGCACTAAGTGGATAGGAAAAAATGTTTAATGCGTGAGGGACTGTGCATTGGGCCTACAAATGAAACTTGCTGCAGGCATCCTAAAAACTTTGAGGATTTGGTTAAAAGGTCTTTAAGTGTTTGAAATTTATACCTGAGATAGCCCAACATGAAATATCCCTTCACAAGTACTAAATGTAAGGAGAAGCCACAATTTTATTTTGTGTATTTTAAAAGGTAATTCTGAGGTGTAAAAAAATTGACACAATGTAGGATTCAAACCTGTAACCTCTGCAGTATTGTACCAGAACTCAACCAGTAGAATCAGCCAACTATTTGGTGATAATCTACAAATTTGCAAGTCTTGCAGTGATTTTCTTTTAATCTTCACATCTCTGGTCTTCATTATGACCAGTTGTTAACACAAGCAGCACCTAACAGAATCACAGTTTTACAAATGTTGATTTATCTTTGTACAAGGACTACAAATACAGGTAAATATTCACATATCTGCCGTGCGTGACCTTGAGTGTGTGTGTTTTTATGTGTGTAGAAGTTAACAAGCTTACTAATGTATTTTTTTTACATTAAAATTGATATTTAACTACATTTATACCATGAATTCCGTAATGCAACAGATGTGAATAAGTCAGTGTGAAGAAGAGAATTTCTGCAATGAGCCACGGCCAAATATTTATCACATGCAGACCTAGCCTCCCATAAAAAATGTTTGGCATGATGTCTGAATGTTCTCAATCCAGAAATCTAACCTTCCCAGGAGGCCGAGGGAAACATTTTGAAAGGACTTGTCAGAGGGTCTGAAAGCTACATGTAGGCCTACATTAACTGCTTGAAAATGTCTCAGGAGAGGAGGGATCAGGGTTAATTTTCATACAGATAAGTTGAGCATACTCGGGCTGCACAGTTCTTGTACCTGTAACGTCTTATGCAGGATCCATCTTTTTTTTCCCTGCAGGGCCAAGTAAGAAAAAAAAAAGAAGAGTGACTGGTTATGTACCGTGGCTGGCTGTGCCGAGACAAGGTGCATGCGAGAGTGAGTGACGTGAGCACGGTCAATTCCTTCTCATTACTGCGGCGTGTCATCACGGCCGAGCTGACTCAGTCTAGCATAAGGAGCATCGAAGGGTGTTGGTTTGAGCCGGTCACTACGTGCAGGACGACCAGGGGAAGAGAGAGAGAAAGAAAGAAGAAAAAAAAAGGGGCTGTGGCCAGTGACGTCTGGGTACACATTGTGAGGAACAATCTTTGTCCTTGGAAAAGCAGTCTTTGCTGAACTTTCAAGATGGCTGGGACCTTGAGAATTTCAAGATATGATGACCATCAGATTCAACAGATACACAAAATGAGTGAGTAAATTGAATGTTTATAAAGTTTCCCAATGTTTTGTGACAGTGTATTTGTACAGTCAATCCAATGCAAAAAATTCCATAAATGTGCTTCAATAAAATGTACATGTATACAAAATCATTTCTAAATGTACAATATGTTCTGCCATATGTACATTTGTACTTATACATGTATGTAGAATTTTTTGTTACTAAAAGAAAGTTCTGAATGATTTGTCAAACATTGAACTGACATTGGAAAGTACTATTAAGCTACAGTACATGTAGAACTGAAAGATATTGACAAACCAAACAAATGACACCAAATTATCTTTTAGGGCCTATATGTACATGTGCATGCATGCATTCTAGAACAGAACTCTATGCCTTGAATTGTTGCAGTCATTTCTGTCAGCTAAATTTGACTTGCATGTAAATTCTAAAAGCTATAAACATTCCTTTGTGTACACTTACTATTCGGTTGTGTCTCATTGTTTTTATAATTTACAGTTTATTTGGGAAGATAAAAACAAAGAATGGATCAATTTTCTATTCCCTTATGAAGATTATAAATACTGGTGGGTTAGAAATACATGTATGTACAGCCTTTGTGATCTTCCTGCTTGGCTTTCTTTGGCAGATACAAGCTCTTTTATAATGATATTCCCTTATTAACTCATTCTTCATTACATTTTTCCCTGACATATTCAAGATCATGACTGTCAAACTGCACATGTTTGCTGCCAGGGAAACCAGAATCTCCCATGGATTTATCGTGCCATTTAACTAAGCAATCCAAATCAATTAATTCCCTGAAACTCTATTCCCTTCCCTGCATCTTCGATTACACACTGTAAGACATCAAACAATCGCCTCCCCCCCCACTACAGTTCAGAGGTTAATGATTAATAACTGGTCCTTGGGCCCACAACCAAGCATGTAAACTCCTGGGAAAATCTTTCACCTGGCCAGCAGATCAGAAAAGATGGAGGAAAAACAACTTCTTACAAATTAAAGGATTGGTTGTCATGGCGTGGTGTGATCCAGTAAGGTCATGTGATTCTCTTGGAAGAGAAGACAGGCCATATGGTTTCAGATTACCTCCTCTCCTTATTAAGGGAGAGGCATCTGATAACAGTTCCAAATGATGAATCTAGTTTAGCAGTTCCTTGCTTTGTGTGCTGGTTGATGCTTCAAGATCTGAAAGAATTGCCCTAAGCAGAAATTAATGCTAAGGCTTCAAGGAATCCAGTTGTTAGTGTGAAACCAGACTAAATGATGGCACTTGCCAAGTTTACGGTCCATGAATTTGGCATTCAGAATAAGAACAGTAATTTTTTGATGTTACAAAAGCTTGTCTAAGATAAAAGGAAAACAGATTTAAATTTATGTAAGCAGACATTTTGTGTATTTTAGCTTGAATTTTTCAGCCCTAATTACTTGACACCAATTCATTGTCATGCATTATTTGTCACATTATAATCTCTAATCAGCATGGAAAATAACAATGTACATGTAAATAAAAAAAAAAGGATTTATATGCATACAAACCTTTGAAACCTATGAAGAAAACTTTTTCTTTCAGTACTGTTGATACATGCATTCCATTTATTTCCAAGTTGAGGAGTGTCAATTTTCCATACAGGAAAAACAACAACAAAGCACATTAATAACTCTTTTATTTGGAAAGAATACATGAATCATCTACGTACACTTGAGAGTTAGCCTTGCAACCAGCCGTCTCTACTGATTCCTCAGAAACCAGTTGGGGACAAATACAGGCAGTGCATGCCCTTCTAATGCATCAGCGAGGCTGCCCCTTTGCTCAGTGCTGCCCACCACCCTTGCGTGGATGCTGCCTAGAGACCGCCTCATGAACTAATGAAGAATTCATCAGACAGATCATCGGGGGCCTAAAGGGGGGGATGAGACAGAATCTCATTTGGCTGCATGCACGTTGTACCTGTACGAGTATGGCAGGTACCAGTTCATGTACAATGTAGTTCTGAGAAATGAATAATGAGCTATTTTACTTCTAATGACAAGATATGTACAGTTATGGGGATTGTGTTACAAGAAATAGAAGTTTACCGATAGCTGTCCAAAATTTCTGTGCTTGCTTATTTGGATGGATACATTCTGTTCACGTTTATCCAAATTTCAAATTGAGCAAGTACAAATATATGGCTGTGTAAATGTATTTTTCACATGTTAATATATGTTTCTCTTTGAAAAAAAAACTACTTTATTTGTGAATTTTACAGATATGTACATTTGTACATGTGCTTTGTGTTTGTGCTTACTTAAGTCATGTACATATCATGCCAGTGATTGCACATGTGAAAGCTGAATGAACTGAAGTGAACATGCATGTATCATTGTTGTGAAAATCATAAAAAGCACATTTTCTAACTTTCAAACTACTGTCAAATTAGAATTTTGTCAAGGCCTGTCTTGATGAGATTTCATGATTTGTTTTCATTTAGAAACTGTCTTATTACATGGGTATAATTCTATAAATTAAGGGTCCAAATTTTTTGTGTCCCTGTCACATCTGACATATGATTTGGTGAGTTCAGGACACATTCTGTAATTTTTAAGAGTGATGAATTAATTCAAATTACCTGCCAATCAACTAGATATACATGTAGTTTGAAATCAATTTTGGTGATATATTCATGTCAAATTACACTGTTCAAGTGTAACATAGGACACAAAAATGTCACACTTTTGGACCCCGAATTTCAGGAAGGACCCATGTAGTTCAAGAAGGATTCTTTTGTGGTGTAAAACCCCCGTGATAGCTAATTAGCCAAAGTGTTTTCCAGAACATACATCTACTGTGCATGTAACTATACTTGCAAAACAGAAGAGCAATTACAATTTGTTTTTTTCCTTCTGCATTATCACCGGAAACCTTGATAAAACTTCCGTGCTTTTTGCTGTGAATTACTTGCTTTTTTTTTCACTCCGTCCCAGCCAAATCCCTGTGATATTTTGACAACGATTTCCCACTTGCATCAGGGTTTTGTTCTGGGCGCCAGTTTGTCTGACACCCTCTTACCGCTTCACCTTGGCCTTCACTGTTTATTTCATGTATCCATGGAAACCGTTCTGGAAAGATGGTTTGATGTCATCTGTGGAAAACTGGAGATTTCACAGAGTGACAGTATTATCCAGTAAAAGAGGAATCAAAGCTGTATTTTAGTCATGTTAGTTTCCTCTGAATTTCAAGCATTCATTTCAAGTAGGTACAAGTACGTACCCTTTGAAAAGCACCAGCATTTCTCTGTTCATTTGAGGCTTGTTAAATGTACGTGTGTTTGTATCTCTGTGAACTCCATTGTTATTTCTGAGTTGGTGTGTGAAGAATGTACTGAATATACATGTACATGTACATGGACTAACAAGGAAGAAATAAAGGATGACATTTATTGCCATCCTTTTGCTGGATTGATTTGATTGAAATTTCAAGCCCGAATTTCCACAGTTGAAATTTATTGTGTTCTTTTTGCATTTTTGTTCCTTTTTTTTGGGGGGGGCAATATAGTGTGAACAGACAAAAATCCTTGCTACATTGTACATAGTATACGTTTACATACATGTACATGTATTTCAAACTTCTTTCATTTCTCCCACTTAACCGTTCTCTCAATTTTTGGTCTATTGCTATTTTTCGTGGAATCTATAAGAAAGTAAAAAAAAATTGAAACCCTACTTGTACCTGTACTTAAATGTACGTAATTAAAAGGAGATGGATTTTGTTTACAGTGGTTTGTGTAGTCTGCTCTGGTTGCTGTGCGTGATACTCGTGTGTAATCCAAGTCTGTCTCCGTCAGTTGTAATTGGCCATGGTTCTGACTGAGAGAAATGGACAAGGCTGCTTTTCGTCCTCGAATTTTTTCCTGCCATCCTGCTCGTCTGGGGGTCAGTGCTGGCCAAGCTCAGTGACGCCACCAGAATTGATCATTGATCTTAGACATCTTAGAAATGTACACTTGGCGTTATTGATTAAACAGGAACGGTTAATTTGAGGCAGGGAGTTACATCTGTTGCTGTCTTGCATTTGCAACAAAAAAGCACTATTAAAGATGAAAAAAAAAATTAAATGTGATGTCTGAGAGAGTGTACATACATGCATGCGTGTTAAGTGTTTATTTGGTGAAGGGGCTTTGGTTTTTAAAGTTCACCCAAATCACTCATCAAAGAATTATTAATTTCACCTTTTTTCTCTCATTTGTGCTCATAAATTTTTGTAAAATTTACTTGTGCAGTATTCCTGAAATGATCACAAATATCATCTTCAAAGGCTCAATTTTAACGTGCTTATCAAATCAAAGTCATGAAATATCTATTCTTTTAAAATCTAGCTCCAGAGTGGCAAATAAAACAAACACAGCTCAGGAAATTCATCACAGTGTTTCTCGAGTGACAAATGGGCTGCAAAATTTCAAGCCCATAAATTCCAGATCAATAATGACCTTTTCATTTGTTGAAGCGATAACAGGAAATTTTCTTTTTGTCCCTAAAGTCGAGAGGGGTGATGAATTTTATCACGGCAAGAAAGCAAAAATAAACAACAGGCATTTCTTTCAGCTTCTTTCCACCTGTGGCCCGTGGGACATGGAAAATGACTCACCCCTTTTCTCTCAGTCTCCTGTAGGAGGCCTCCAAATATTGACTTCGTATTTCATATCTCGGTCCAGCAGAATATTCTAGGGTTGTGTTTTGTTTAAGGGAAGAAAATACAGTCAAAATAGCAGGCGGTTGTTTTTGTTTGGAAGGTACATGTAGGTGCACAGTCAGATGTGCATGTTGTACAAAAGCCAGATGGGCTTACTGGTCCAAAATTGAGGATTGCTGAAACAGTTTTGAAGAGGGTACATTAGATTATGTGGTCCCTGTCGGAAAGAATTTAGTCCACAGAATCTATGTTACTGAGGAGTAGAGGACTTTTCTTTGTAAATGTCACATTTGCTAGGAAATTAAATGATGGGAAGGAGCACAAATGGGTGATTGCA